GGTTTAGTAACAGGTCCTATGATTGTCTGTTAGCTTCTCATTTTGACTAGTACATAATTTCGTGATGTATTTCTTTATCAATTCCATGGCTTTATCAGCTTTTAGTGACAGTATTTGATTTCTACATAAGTTTCAAAGTTTCAATATAAAATCAGAAGTGTTTTGTCAGACTTGGTTGTCATCCCTCATTCTTTCTTTTCACCTGTACCTGTTTATTTATTGAATTTATTCCACCTACCCTCCAGCTATTAGCTATATATTGTCTCCATAGCAATCCCTCTCTTCAGCACAGAAGCAAAAGAAGAGGCTTGGTAATTGTGGCTTTACATGCAAGGTGTCATTTGAATGCTTTCAGGAGTGCAAACAGCAGGAGATATGGCAATTCTGACACTCTTGGATAGCATCACTGTGTGCATTATTTTTTCTATATTCATGTTTCATCAACCGTTTGCAAATTTTCATTTAACTTTACTTACTTTAACATAGGCTTTGCTCACATTTTATAATCATTAACAATATGAACTTATTACTGGCTGCTTTCCTCATACAATTTTACATTTACACTGAAGATCTTAAGAGGCCTTTACAAATCATGCTTCCCATTATGTAGGGGGAAATCACTTTGTTAAAATCCCAAGATTACAGGTGATTAGGATACTTTCTCCCACAAGCCATTGCCATGTCTTTTCTATCAGTTTGGCTCCTTTTACAACAGACCAGTATTGTTAATATCAAGAAATTTCACTTTTCAGAGCCAACAACAGTTAGTATATACATAGAATCACAGAATCATAGAACAATTAGGGTTGGAAAGGACCTTAAGATCATCTAGTTCCAAATCCCCTGCCATGGGCAGGGACACCTCACACTAGACCATGTCACCCAAGGCTCTGTCCAACCTGGCCTTGAACACTGCCAGGGATGGAGCATTTACAGCTTCCCTGGGCAACCCATTCCAGTGTCTCACCACCCTCACAGTAAAGAATTTCCTCCTTATATCCAATCTAAACTTCCCCTGTTTAAGCTTTAACCCATTTTCCGCTGTCCTATCACTACAGTCCCTGATGAAGAGTCCCTCTCCAGCATCCCTGTAGGCCCCCTTCAGATACTGGAAGGCTGCTATGAGGTCTTTTTTATTTTGCATTATTATCTACAGAATTAATTAAGTGTGGATGATTCTGGGTAGGCAGACATAAAATTGATAGGAAAAGTGGTTATATAAATGTAACTACCCTTAAACTAATAAATGCAACTATTTTTTTTTCTTTTTTCCTTTTAATATGGAAAAAAGCAAGCTATGTCCCGCAAAAGGTCAGTGAAGTATAATGTTTTCCTAGTAAAAAAAGACACCCAGGAAATTTAGGTGGAGGTTTATGACTCAAAGTGAATTTCAGGCAGCATTGTGATACCTAGAATCATAGAATCACATTATGGTCTGGGTTGAAAAGGACCTTAAGATCATCCAGTTCCAACCCCACTGCCATGGTCAGGGACATCTCACACTAGACCATGTCACCCAAGGCTCTGTCCAACCTGGCCTTGAACACTGCCAGGGATGGAGCATTCACAGCTTCCTTGGGCAACCCATTCCAGTGCCTCACCACCCTTACAGTAAAGAACTTCCTCCTGATATCTAACCTGAACTTAATCCTGTTTAAGTTTAAACCCATTACCCCTTGTCCTACCGCTACAGTCCCTGATGAAGAGCCCCTCACTGGCATCCTTTTGAAAAACACAGCAAAGGGTATCGTGTTATTAAATACTATATTTCTCAAGGCTAAACACTGTATTTCTCAAAGGAGGTTCATTCACCCAAACTAAATGAAAAGGTTTAAATATTTGTAAGCTTGCACTTCTGCTTTCCCTTGAGGTGAATAATGCCCACTATCAGATACCCTGTGCAGCAAGGGCATTATTTGAAGTTCACTGCAATTCTTTAAATATTTGTTATAAATTCAGTGGGATCAAGATAAGGGTCTAAATAAGATATCTACATACTTTATGTTGGAAAGTACTAGAGTTTGGAGGAAACCTTATTTTTCTCTAAATATCTTTCAGTTTATTCTCATGCAAGTTCCACCCAATTTTATGAGATTTTGGCATAGTATAGTTGGAAAGGTCTTTATTAATCAATAAGTATACTAAATAAGATTAAAGATTAATCTGTCAGGCTTTTGACTATGTGTTGCCAGCCAGGGCTTGAGTGTTCTGTCGCTTCTTTATATGTTTTGGCAATGAACTGATTCAATACTACTTTCACAATGAACACATTTCCTACTATCATGGACCTGTCATTCCACAATTCTCACTGATATACAGAGATGATGTACTGGTTCAAGTACTAACGTTCCACAAAAGATGTAGGTCTACTTATTTATGTTCTTTAATAGTAAGGAAGGCTGCATGAAAGAGTTAAAGCTTAAATCCCTGCATATTTATTGTGTTGGGAGATGCAAGTATTTTGGGATAATTCCCTACCTAGTTAGCCTTTAGAAAAAAAGCTCTGTCAAAACACAGATTCAGATTCAGTCATTTGAATACTTGATCCATAGATTGACAGCATGCATTATGGCAAAAAGAAATAGTAACCAGAACTAGCTAGCCTCGAAGCAGAAAAGACCACATGACATGTAATAGAGGCCTCTTTTTTATGATTTATCATAAAAATCCTGCTTCTTGATAAAATTCACCACTGTAATTCAGTTTATACATATTAAAAGCAGGAACCTAAGGGTAGATATCAAAATATTATTTTCAACACAACTTATAATTCACTTCACTACTATAAAGCATTTTAGTGGATAGAAGAAGGCTTTAGGAGGGAAAAAATATCAAGAGTCAGTAATGAAATATTGTCTTTAGCAACACAAAATCAAGATACCGATATCTGCAACACCAGTTTCTGTAAACAACCCATTATTAGACTCACTTACAAAAAAGTTTCTTCGTTGATGTATTTTTATGTGATTGTCCATTACAGCATTTTGGAATACATACTGGGGAGCATTAGGGCCAGCTACTCTCAAAGAAGGGATAACACAAAAAGATAATTAATTTGAAATTATATTATAATTCCTTTGTTGTAATTAATATTCTTGGTCTCATCCAGGAAGTAAAAGAGAGAATGTAAGGGGAGACCATGATTTATTGCTTAATATCAGTAGATTTCTCCTCAAGCTACAGTGAAAAAATTATTGGGGAGATAGCAAAGAAGCTTGTGCTTTAGCTCCCTGCAGCTAACTGATATTAGGCTTTATATATATATATATTTATATATATAACACATATATTTATATGTATTATATACAATATATATATATATAAAGCTTTTAGGTGCAATTTTTTTTCTAAATAGAAAGATACATAGATCTATAAAGCCTTTGGCTTTCACAGTATAAATTAAGTACACTGAAATGCCACAATTCCCTTGGAGAGGGTCTTTTTATGAGAGCATGTAGTGACAGGACAAGGGGGAATGGCTTTAAATTGAAAGAGGGTAGATTTAGATTAGACATTAGCAAGAAATCCTTTACTATGAGGGTGGTGAGGCCCTCGAACAGGTTTGCCCAGAGAAGTTGTGGCTGCCCCATCCCTGGCAGTGTTCAAGGCCAGCCTGAATGGGGCTTGAAGCAACATGGTCTAGTGGAAGGTGTCCCTGCCCACGGCAGGGGGCTGGAACTGGACGAGCTTTAGGGTCCCTTCAACCCAAACCATGCCATGATTCTATGATTCTATGAATTCCATTTAGTTTAAGACCTTACTCCCACTGGGAGAAGAGAAAATTCACACTACTTCAATGCGGTGTTTACTGATGCAAGTGTATTTTTTTGCAGAAAAGCAGAGGTGGCAGGACACTAGTAGTAGTAAGCTATATTATTTGGATTTGTGAATTCTGGAATTCAGTTGTGTAACTAAATTAGTCTATAGCTATTTTAGAGGTATAGATATTTTAGAGGCATAGCTATTTTAGAGGCACAGTAAACTATTTCTAAATAAAAACACATGCATTTCATATGGATATAGCATATACGATCACTAATCTGTAGATTTATAAACCATTTACAATATATCACAGATGGTTTTGCAAATAGGCGTGTCAAAGCTTGAAGACCTCCCAGATTCCTTATTTCAGCCTTTTCCAGTCTTTCCATTAGCATTTAGTTTTTGGACTACAAATAAATATTTATAAATTTAAATATTATCAATTACAAATTGATCAGCATACTGAAAATTGAGGCTTTTTTGTCTGTTTTTTTGTGTTGTTTTTTTTCTCCTTTTGGTTTCAAATCTGTTAAATGTGATTCACATTTTGCACAATGCTGAACATTTCTGTGTTGGCTGATCATGATCCATCTGCATTATGTAACTGTCAAAAGCCTGTCTTGGCCTTGGATCATGTTGAAAGCAACTATTGTACAGAGGGTCATTTGCCATTTTTATGTAATTGTCCAGAGAATGTCCTAGTTCACATTTAAATGACTCCGTGATACAAAATTTCTCCCAGCATTCAGTCAGGGTTTTGTCTTGCTCTGAATAGATCCTATTAAAAAACGGAAATGTATGAATAGAGAGATACCCCACTGCCTGCTTCAACCCACTAAAAGCTATAACATGCTTGTGAATAAACAATATATATACATATATTAAGAGGAAGTCAAAATGAAAAGGTTTGGTCTGAAAAATAACATTTAGGTTCAGACAGGTTAGGCTGGTGGGGACAAGTCAATAGTGCAACACCTGTTCCTGAGAATACTGCCATCATACCTTTATTGTTCCTCATCCCTGAAATCTAGGTTGTTTGCTCTTCTATTACAGCCTTAAATGGGGCATAGCAAGCTACGAATGTTCATTATTTCTTGTACTGTAGACAGGACAGAGGGTGTCCAGGTCATACAGACACTTTCAAACTGAGCTGGGGAGCTGTTTCTGCATTTTAGGTGATGCACTGCAGTACACCTGGCCTTATAGTCCTCCTTGAAGCATGGCCTTATAGTCCTCCTTGAAGCATAAAATGTTCCTCCTAGCTCCAAAATTGCCAGCCCCCAACCACTGCACAGTGCGGGCATTCCCAATGTAAAATCAGCTCACTATTAGTGCTGGTCACAGTGTCCTTTGTTTCTGTAATCTCCACGGTCAAGTTACACATTCACATCACATGTTAACCCATGATGCTGTAACTGGAAAGCACTATTTGTTCTCTTCCCAGCTCTCGCTGCCATATTTATCAATTACACATACTATCTTGTTTAGATATCAGACGAGAGACTGAAGAGTCAAACTACTCTGCACAATAATAAAACTACACCAGTGATTTTTTGATCTTCTCTTTTCTGTCAGTCACCAAGATCTGAAACCTTTGTGAGTCAAAATTCAGCACCCAGATCCAGTAAAAGGCTTGGTAAACCTGGTGGACAGACCTGGACTGCATACTTTTGTGCCCACAATTCTTGTTTTCAATGGCTTTTAGGTATTTTTTAATTGGTAACATAAATCAGGCTTTGAACTGTTAACTGTAAAGTCTAGCAGCCATTAGGATAGCAAGGAACTAAAAAGGAGTTCAAAGGAACATGAAAGATGCCAAGTATCTCCATCAGGTTTCATAATGAACTAAAAGGTTACTTTTATTCAAATTATGTAATTCTGTGTCAAAGTTACCCATGTCAAGTCACACAGCTTTAGTTTAACGAAGGGACAATCACACCGTTTAGAGAATCAGCTTTGGTTGTTGATCTTCCGCAAGATCACATTGAGGCAATCTGTAATCTCTAATTAGAAGAGATTTGCTATAATTCATTCCTAAATTATTTTATCATTGGTATACTAACATTAATGAAATGTAAAAAAGGATTGTCAAGTTTGATTCTCCATCTATCACTGACCTTTTAATTATGTACTTGTCATTGGAGATAGTCAGCTGTCTCCTCAGTGCTTTGCCTGGCATAAGGTGACTGCTCTGAATCCATGCCTTCATCTTGGTAAAAGACAGATATGCAGCACCTTCTGAAGAGACTGTCCAAGCTGCTGCAAGATGCAGTGCAGCCAGGTTCTTCTGTTGCCGCTCATGTTCCTGCTCCTTTTTATTAGAGAAATCTCCCTGGGCATTTTTATGATGAGTTATACATTGACTGTGGATTTTCAACTTCTCTTTATTGGTGCATCTACACTAGCTCTGTAAGTAGCATTTCAATATTGGTCTCATTAAAACTTCAAGAAGAGATAAAATTGCCTTTTCATACACTTATTCTTTGTTTAGCTATATAAACATCTTTTTTTCTTTTTCCCCCTAAGGGCCCAGCATTACGATGATTCTAGGTTACTCTGTATAACTATCTAGCCTCACCATTACTTAATGTTTTGTTGGCCTGTGAGTCATGTGCAAGATTTATCAGATATGATAGGATAATTAATTCAATGTGATCAAGCACATTGTTGAACAGAACAGAAGTGAGCCCTATTTTCTGCAGAACCCTTCCACAAATCACATCCATTGGTGGAAAATCTGGACATAATATTTACATAAATGTCACAAATGACATATACATATCTATATAAAGATACAGAATTTTATATATATTTTTAAAATCTGCCAGCTCACTTCTCTTAAATCCCCCTAAGGTCTGAATCATGGATAAAGCATATTGCCACATTTTCAATCTGAACCTCATGGAATACTTAATTAAAAATCTTACAGGTTTACATAAAAAAAAAAAAAAATTCATTTTTGGAAAATAAAATTCAGTAAAATATTGATTTTAATTTATTTTATTCTTACCTTGAAATTCATAAGGAAGTTAATTGTGTATCTGTTTTCTGTTATTCTGATGCAGCATGACCAGGCTACAACAGGGTATATCTTGGCAGCAGTATTACAGTGTTATTATCACAAAACTTTTTAAAAAATATTTTTTAAATATCATCTTACTGTTACTGTTTAATAGATAATGCAGTAACACCAGATCTGTTTTTGTAGGAAGAAACTCACTGTAGAAACCTCCTGTTTATACATGAATTAAATATACATCTAAATATCTCCGGAAATTAAAAAGCACAATATAGCCCAGACTTACAACAACTTTGCCTAGCAAAACCAAGGGCTGTCATGCGACTTACTCCTACTTTGCTATAACGCATAAAGGAAGCGTAGATCAATGTGAGAGAGGTCTTACTTAAGATGAAAGAAACCTACCAGATGGGTCAGTTTAGAACTTGGGAGAATGTTGTAAGGTTTTGGGGGGATTTCTTGCTTGTGTTTTGGTTGGGTATTTTTGGTTGTTGTTTCATTTTTGTAAAAAAGCAGTCTTGTTTTGCTCACTATCAATTAGGTTTCTGTCTAACAGTTCAGCCTAAGAGGCTAACTGCCCACTGCTTGCAGGTCTGCCCTGAAACCAGAGCCTCAGGCTGCAGCCCAGCCTAGTTGCCTCCCTGGATAACTGCTGTGACCCTCAGGAAGTGGAAATCCGTGAAATGCAGCTCTTCATTGGCACAGTAATTCTTACCCATCTGCAAAGTAGCTGATAACTCTACTGGCAAGTTTCAGTGCACCCTGAAGCCTCTGAGCTTCCTAGTAGTAATCAGAATGGTGAGCAGGTACCTGACCACATTCCACCTTCATTGGCATGCCCACGGGGAGTGCAGCTCTTTAGCCACACCATAAACCACACTATCATAGAATCATAGAATTGTTAGGGTTGGAAAGGACCTTAAGATCATCTAGTTCCAACCCCCTGACATGGGCAGGGACACCTCACACTAAACCATGTCACCCAAGGCCTCGTCCAACCTGGTCATGAACACTGCCAGGAATGGAGCATTCACAACCTCCCTGGGCAACCTATTCCAGTGCCTCACCACCCTCACAGGAAAGAAGTTCCTCCTTATATCCAATCTAAACTTCCCCTGTTTAAGTTTTAACCCGTTACCCCTTGTCCTGTCACTACAGTCCCTAGTGAAGAGTCCATCCCCAGCATCCCTATAGGCCCCCTTCAGATACTGGAAGGCTGCTATGAGGCCTCCACACAGCCTTCTCTTCTCCAGGATGAACAGCCCCAACTTTCTCAGCCTGTCTTCATATGGGAGGTGCTCCAGTCCCCTGATCATCCTCGTGGCCCTCTTCTGGACTTGTTCCAACAGTTCCATGTCCTTTTTATGTTGAGGACACCAGAACTGCACACAATACTCCAGGTGAGGTCTCACGAGAGCAGAGTAGAAGGGCAGGATCACCTCCTTCGACCTGCTGGTCACGCTCCTTTTGATGCAGCCCAGGATACGGTTGGCTTTCTGGGCTGCGAGCACACACTGAAGCCAGCTCATGTTCATTTTCTCATCAACCAACACCCCCAAGTCCTTCTTCGCAGGGATGCTCTGAATCTCTTCTCTGCCCAACCTGTAGCTGTGCCTGGGATTGCTCCCACCCAGGTGTCAGACCTTGCACTTGCCATGGTTAAACCTCATGAGGTTGGCATCAGCCCACCTCACAAGCGTGTCAAGGTCCCTCTGGATGGCATTCCTTCCCTCCAGTGTATCAACCGAACCACACAGCTTGGTGTCATCGGCAAACTTGCTGAGGGCGCACTCAATCTCGCTGTCCACGTCACCCACAAACATGTGGAACAAGACCAGTCCCAACTCCGATCCCTGAGGGACACCACTCATTACTGGTCTCCAGCCAGACATTGAGCCATTGACCACAACTCTTTGTGTGCGGCCATCCAGCCAGTTCTTTATCCACCGAGTGGTCCATCCATCAAATTGATGTCACTCCAGTTTAGAGACAAGGATGTCGTGTCACAATGTTGAACATTTTACACAAGTCCAGGTAGATGACATCCACTGCTCTACCCCTGTCCATCAGTTCTGTAGCCCCATCATAGAAGGCCACCAAATTGGTCAGGCAGGACTTCCCCTTAGTGAAGCCGTGCTGGTTGTCACCAAGCACCTTGTTTTTCACGTGCCTTAGCATGTCTTCCAGGAGAATCTGCTCCAAGATTTTGCCAGGCACAGAGGTGAGACTGACTGGTCTGTAATTCCCCAGGTCATCCATTTTCCCCTTCTTGAAAATGGGGGTTATATTTCCCTTTTTCTTCAAGGCTTTCTGTCTTGCAGATAATGACACATTCTGTGTGTGTGCACCATACCCTCTTGTACCTCTATCTGTGATCAGCTCCTGACAACTGCAACTGTACTGCATTGCTGTGCTCCAGCTAGAGCAAGGTGCTTGGCTGGACATCACAGCTTGCCTCTGGTATCTCTGACCCTAGCTGGAGTACTTTGCTTTCTCTGGAGTGTCCTACATCTTTTTCTGATGATAATTCTTGTTTGCAACTTGGTCCTGCTAATTTAGGGCATAGCTGGATCTCTGCCTCCCCTGTATGTAACTGCATTTTCAGCTTTTTTAACCAGCGAAGTACCTTGTGGACCACTTAGTACTGCTGAGGCAGGTCAGGAGGCCCTGACCTTGGAGTGAGTTTCTGTTAAAGGTCTAATCATTAAGGCAATGGTCCTTCCTTACAGAGCATTAGCATTCTGCAGTAACAGACTGTACTCAGCCTTTCCTGTTTAAATTCCTGATAGCTTTTTCTCATCTAAACACATTTCCTGTTTTTGTTCCCTTAGACAGCTTTATCCATACATAGTTTCCTTAATCTCAGTTCCTCAAAATTTGGCAGCAAAGGTTCACAACTCAGTTTTATAGTTCTGCCTCAGTTAAGGAAACGCCTGCATCTTCCAAATGCCTCTCATGAGAAAAGCTGAAAACAGCATCTACTTTCTTGGGAATAAAGCCTAGGTATACTAGCCAAAACTCAACATGACGGAATAAACTGCGTAGAGTACTTTGCCAGATTATTCAAGCAGGTGATCTTGTGACAGCAAGGAAGAATTATTTTGGCATATTGGAGAGAAGAACAAATTATACTGTTCAGCAAGGCTTTTATTTCTAGATCTTTTACCCCCTTCTTCAACACTGTGTAATCCAAAGTTACAACTGAGTCTTGCAGATAGTGATGACAGCATTCTTCTTTCCTTACAATGGATCTAGGATTTGGCATTAATAATGTTGACAGTATTTATCTAATACATATTATTTCTATTGCTAACTAGAACATTTTAAAGACAAAATAGTACTAAAAATATTTTTGTGTTGTTTTACAAATAGATTTTATGCCTATTTTAACACTGCATTTTTTAGAAAAAAAAATATTTTATTCTGTTACACAATTGATTCTACAAACTTTATTCAGAGAAAAATAATGTCAGAATCCTCCTCAGGTACATGTGATTTCTTTTTTTATGTGTGAGACTTAAACAGATCAAGAGCATATGCCAGGGCAAAATTTCTTAGCTTTCAAAGGGAAGATTATATTCAAAGTATAATTTATAATACCAGGCACCATTAGACATAGTGTATTATTCATCTAAACACCATAATGTTATTCAATTCACAATGAAAACTGAAAATTAATAACTTGCCACCATTGATTTTCTGTAGTTTGCACCGATACTGAGGAAAGTGAACCAGTCTACTTGAAAAAAAAAACATCAGCCCATTACTACTACAAGCTTTAAGGATACTGAACATGTAGACAAACAACAGAATGATTAACACCACCCAAGCAACTTGGACTAATTTAAGTAAAAGTGAAGCAAATGCCAAGGCAAACAAAAGCGCATTGGAATATAACCAGATATGTGCTGGGTTCACTTGTTCCTATTTGGAAGGTGAAGAATTATAAACTGCTGTTTCCTGAAGTAAAACTATCTGTTTTTCTCTGAGTAATTATTCATTTCATATAAACCAACAAAATACAACCCATGTTGCCGCTGCATTCAGCGAATATCCTGCATATTTATCCACATCTCTGTGATGCCAGGAAGTGTTCTGCTTTTTCTAGTCGATTGAAGGGGAAAGTAGTGAGAAAATTAGTCAATAGACACACAAAATTTGGAAACAGAAATTAACTTAGATGTTACTATTTCAAGGCTTAAACTACGAGTATTTTTACCTTCCTCCCAAGTAATTTAGTATCAGGCTTTAGACAAAAAGGTTATAATGACTTTTCTAACTTACCCAATAAAATCAAAGTTTTTGCACCCCAGTGTGTCACCATGATCTGTCTAACTTTGTAAGAATTTTGACAGATGCTGAGCACGCTGGCTGTAGATCAGGAATGCACTTAAACACATGTATAACTTGAAGCACTTCAGCAGTTCCAAAAGAGAAATTCTGGCTGTACTGAGGTACAGTAAGGGCAAAGTAATAGCAATTGTAGCATTTCCAGTGACTTTGGTCTATCCAGAATTTGAACCATGAACTATGTGGCTTCTAATAAGCTGCTTAAATCTAAGGTTTGTTGGTCTATTTAGGTCAGCTGGTGTAGATAAGAAAAAAACCCACAATCTTCAGGGCACACAAGCCCTTCCTCAGAAGCAACAGAATTTGAAGCTAAGGACAAGCTAAGAGTAAAAGCAAGCACAGATGTTTAGTGTACCTCTGGACTGAATCTGGACCTTGTGTAGCTGAGAATGAACAGGAACACTGAAGATTCAGCATACATGTAAACATAAAATCATGGCAAAGGCCTTCCTTCAAACCTGCTTCATGTTGCTGCTCCATAGCAATCACTGACAGGATTTAGGCAGCTTTATACAGGCAGCTTCAAGACTTTGTTTCTTCTCTGTCTTTTGTAATCAAGAAAATCCTACAGAGTCATAGCAATAAGAGTCCCAAGGTCTGGTATTAAGACTTTTTGCCATCATGCCTGGTGAAGAGAAGGAAAAACCCACTTTGATATGTATTTCAAAGTTATTTTACTTGGTATTTATTGATGAGTACTCACAGTTATTCAACATTCTAAAAGGGAAAGACTACTGCCATGACCATAAACTGTTTGCAAGAATAAAAGGATCATGTATTAAAAAAATATTTTTCATTTACATGTAAATATCATGTACTTTTCATTTGCAAGAAAAAAACCTGTTTATTGGATAACATGGTCATAATCTGATCCATAAAACCAATAGACTTTGACAGCAATTTATTTTAAATTTGCAATTACTGAAAAAATCTCCAACTCTCCATAAGCAATCAGTCCTATTCTTTGTTGATAAGCTTTGTCAGCAAAATGGTTACTGTATTTGTAGTATATTTATAACTAGGAATGAAAAACCACTTGTATTAATACATTATAGAATCTATCACAGTAAGTAATGTTCATATGTGATTTTTAAACGCAGTAAAAGAAAACAGACTATTTGAGGTACCTATTCATAAAAGTTGCCTTTCAGAGTATGTGTGAGACATCTAAAAGTTGTAGTATTTCATTACAGTTACTTTGTGTTCATGTGAGAGGAAATGGTACATTCCCGCAGTAATTTTCATGAATGTCTCAATATAACATCATTGGTAGCTGTTTAAATCACTGTACTTCTACAGATCTTGAATAAAGATGTCTAGCTTAAATGCATTTTTAAAAAGACACCAACTTATGATGACCAAGCATCATAAGATTAAACATTATACTGATGGGCATTTTTGCATATACACTGATGTTTACTTCCTATAATTTGAAATTGAAACAGTCACTACATAAAGATTTAATAAAGCTTTACACAAGTAGAATGATACCTCAATTTGTAAGTTTTGCTGATTTAACAGCTGCACATGAATATATATATTTATGTATATCTAATTATTACTCATATGCAATAACACCTACAAACACACTTAGTGGTTTACAGTGCTGTTTTGTACTTACTGTGAAATAATTTCAACTTCTCCATACTTACAAAGGAACAAAGAACAATATAACTGCACAGACAACATACCAAAGAGGTGCGTATTTCATAATATTACATTTGCCTGTTTTTTCGTGGTTTATTTTATGTATAATTCATTTCTGCTATAGGTATTCTAATTCATTTGCAGCTCAGGGTTAGAACAGACAGTAGATTATGTATTTTCTTTGCTGTAACTATTGAGAATTAAATTTAACAAGATAATTTTCAAAAACATGCAGACCTCACAAAAAGAAATCTGCCTTCAAGAACATTTGCTCTATCATATTTTAGGAGATGACTTATCTACAGTGTTTAGAACACTGAAATCATCAACAGACTCATACAACTTGTTAGAAACCTGATCTTTTGGAAAGGTTAATACAGTATGAATTAAATGTCAAATTCCCCTCTGCCCCCTTGCTGAGCCTTCTCCTAGCAAAATACACGCAGTCCACTTTCAAGGACCTCTGAATTACACTGTATGGGTACACAAAGCTGATTCTCCTCCCATATTAGTGTAATTAGCACTGCCTTCATTAACATTAACAGAATCCTCACTGTGTATTTCAGGGCAGCACTGGGCACTAGGTCATGCATGGCACTCACTGGCTTATACGGCATGTGTCTCCCTCCCAACAGCCCCATCCTCGCACAATATACACCTCAGAATCCCCCAAAGCACTGACAATAGTTACTTAAATCCATGTTAACAAGCACTATAGGTGCTGGTGTGGTGAATTTCTATTTGCTTTGATGTCTACTTACTGGTTTTTTCATTTGTTTAAATTTCAGATAGTGTAACAGAGATTCCTGCGGTTGGTAATAATCTACATATGGTGCCCATGGGACCACAACACAGATGGGAAGCCCCTAGTCTATCTGGAAAAGAAATGGGGGTTGCTAGAACTGTAAAAAAGTCAAGAAGCTGGCTAAAGGCGGAACAGCAATATATAAATAATTTAAAAAGTGAAGCAGTGGTATGGAAGAAGGTACCTTGCATTGAATCCTGGGAGCATTTTGTTTTCTTAGCACAATAAATGAATTAGATAAAATTTTACCTTAGTTTAGGCATTGAGCTATAATTATGTATATAGTTATGTGCTTTATTCAGAAAGTACTTTACCTTGGTCTATTTACTTTTCCAAAGATACATAGAAATTAAAATTCCTGCCCACTTTCCTTTCTTTCATAACGATTACACTCAATTTCTCATACATGATTTTGCATACTGTGTCTCGTTAAAAATGAGAGCAAAAAAGTGGCTGAATCAGATAATTTAAATTAATATCTGAAAACCAGCAAAATAGAAGGCTGGAGGGTGGCTATTATGCCCACAAACCACTATATGTTCCACATCAAACATGAGAATTCTATCTATTAAGCACATGCAGTAATAACTAAACATAACCTAAGAGAAAATTGAGCCCAAGAGCAGGTGATGGGGAGCCAAAAGGAGGTCATACCAAACAACATCTATTTTTTGTTAAAACAAGCAAACAAAATCTCTTAAAACAATCCTCTCTCAGGACTGAAGAGGCAAAAAACTCGCACAGCTTCTGAGCAATCTCCCAACTTGTTGGATAAGTGAAAATTATACAGTTCTAACTATAGGGATGAAATACGCAATTTCATATAACCACACTGCTGTGAAGCAAGTCTAATCAATGGGTTAGAGCAAACACATTTCTGACATTTTGGAATAAAACTAATAGATGGTGTACTGCCCAAATGCAGATTATATTTAACTACAGCTTCTTTTCTATGTAGTAGAATATTTTAATTTGTAAGAAAATACATTAAGGCATCATGTAAAGATCTTTACTAGCTCCGGATAGAGATTCAGGTCTCCCCTGCTCTACAACTAAACATCATATAAGAGAGTACCTGTAAAGCACAGCACAGACAATGTTTCTTCTGAGTATTAAAAGTTCAGACAATGTTTCTTCTGAGTATTAAAAGCTTCCTGGCTACACTAGTTAGTGCAATCATTCTTCAACCATATCGGGCACTGTTTTCCATGTTCCTGAGAGCTTCCATTGTTATGAAGTGACTCTAGAATACAATAATTTATCCCCTGGGCTGTTATTCTAGAAGTAGAACGAAACAACTCACATCACTGAATATGGTTGAAAATACCTTTTATTATTTCAAAGAAGACAGAATAAGGAAAGAATATTGGAAAAGCCCATGTAACCTGAAATAACTATTTCTTCTACACCTTTAAAATTAAGATATCAACAGAAATTGGCTGCAAATTTCAACACAAGGAACGTGCATGTCAGAAAAAATATATGCAAGCAGATCTTCAGGAGTAACCCTGGTTTTGGTAATGTCATCCATGTACAAACAGATACACCTTATCCATGTGTTTGTAATAGCAAAAAGGTAGCAGAAAAGTCCCTAATTAAGGAAAGAAAAAAAAAAAAAGGACTAAAACCAGAATGAAATCTGTATTTCAGACTAGCTAAATGTGTCAAAAAGCAGACAGTAGACAGATAAAAGGAGCTCCAGCCTACTTCACCCTTTACACTTCAGGCATAGTGACAGTGTTAAAAGGGTAAGAGGGCAGAGATAGAACCGTAGCAGACACTCCTAGTCAGAGGTATGAAAACGTGTGTGCCAGGCGCGTGATTAAGTGAAACAAAATCCATGCAAAGTTGGGGTATCCTAGTGTCTTCATCTTCATAACATCTACATCTCTCATTATCACATTTCTGTCGACTACAATCTCTGCTTACTGCTTTCTTATCCCTTAATCGGCACCCTTTCACTTGCCAATATTCAAATGTTATTTTTATCCTTTATTTCCAAGCCAGAAAACTATCCCTAAGCTTATTTATTTTCCTCTTGCTTAACTCCATTCAGCAGCAGTCAAAATTACTACCTCTCACATTGTCACAGAAGATGCCAGGAGCCCTAAAACAAGACTAAGCTCCCATATGTGAGCTAAACTGTTTTTTAAAAACTCTTATCCTATGGTACCAGTCTGCACAAGAGAACAGAAAGTGGAGCATGTACATGAACCACCCAGGTAGGCAAACGGCTGGTGGCAGAGAAGTAAGTCTCAGATGCCCAGCCATTCTCCAAAGCAGCAGCACAATGAAGATGGCCAAATAAAATCACAGAATCACAGAATGGTTTGGAATGCAACGGAGCTTAAAGCTCATCCAGTTCCAACCCCTGCCATGGGAGGCAGGGATACCTTCCACTAGACCAGGTTACCGCAAGCCCCGTCCAACCTGGCCTTGAACACTGCCAGGGATGGGGCAGCCACAGCTTCTCTGTACCAGTGCCTCACCACCCTCACACTAAAGATGTCTCAGAGGTCTGATTAAGTTCTAAAAGTTAATGTTGTTCAGGGTTTCTTTAAGAAAGAATTTTATACCATACTTTGCTAGAGTACATGATTACCAACCAGAAAATGTTAAAAAACTGTTGAAGTCAGTTTAATTGAGCGTTATCTACTTCATTTTACATCATTTCTTATGGTTTATTCACCATTAGCAAAGATCCCTGTGAAGAAGAAAATCCAACACATCCAATAAAAAAATGAATTTGATACACTTTTCCATCAAGTATTATACAAGAAAACTTTTTATTTACCAACTGTAGCAATATCTGAGTCTGACCTAAAGTCTTTGTACTCTAATGCTAAATCATCTCCTGTACTATAAAATTCTGCTTTTTTTTGAGCACATTCTGGGGGCAGAAACCCTTGATACCCTACAGAATCAAAACATCCGAAGGACTCACTGGGGAAGATTAACCTCAGTTTAACAGGTCTGCCTTGTGTAGACTGTTGTGTCTTTGAGATGTTTTGACTGAGACTTTGCTGAGATTCATGGCATTTTATCTCACTTTATCTCATGTACAGGCTGTTTTATCTATGATATTCTGTGAAATGTACTTTGTTTCAAGCTGGCTGCGCTCACAAGTCGAGCCAGGGGTCATGCAGTAGCTCAGCTGACCTGGCCTTGGGCAGGAGGTTGGACTGGATGATCTCAGGTACAAGGCAACAAGATCTTTCTTTTCTACTCCAAACACCTCAGTATATGCATGCTGGGGAAAGAGCTGGGAGCGCTGCATGTTCTTAGGGGCTTGATACTAAAGAACACTACAGTGAAGCAACAAAACAAGCCCTGGATCTGATGTGGACGTGCAGGACTACACTCGAGCTCTGTGCAAGTAAAGAGGCACATGAAAAGGAAGTTAATGGAATAGTTCTGGGCCGGGGTTGGGATCGTTTCCCTTGGCTCTCTTTCCATGGGGGAACACGCAGTTGACCGGCGAGCATCAACAGCAGCAAACCCTGCGCTGCCCTAGCCCCGTCCCGCTCCTAAGGGGACGATTCCCTTACAAGGCACCCAACGCCGGTGGGGGCCGGACTCTCAGCCCCTCTCGCAGGGTAGAAGGGCCCCACGCCGAGACCACACAGCAGGGACTACGGCCGAGCAGAACGCTTTCTCAGCCACCTCCCGCTCCCCGCCACGCCTCAGGCGGCCTCACCCCCTGGAACCGCCCCTGCGGGCGGTGGTACAGCCCTGCCCGGCGCTCCCCCGCCCCACCGGCCAATGGAACCGCCCACCCACAAACGTTTAAATTCGAGCCCTCAGTGGTTTTCCCCGCCGCCGGCAGGTGAGCTGGGCTTTCGGTGGCACCGCCTGATGGGAGGAAAGCTGTCTTCCCCACCCGGGGCCCGTTTTAAACACCGTTCCCGTTTTGTTCCCGTTGCTCTCACCCCGTCTCCACCCCCCCCTCTTTCCCCCCCCCCCCCCCCCCACAACGGCCCGCCGATGCCGTGCGCACGCGCGGTCCGCGCCGCCCCGCCCTTCCCGCTGTGCGCGCTCTCGCCCCCGCCCGCCCCGCCTCAACCCCGCTCCGCGCCGCCGTGTGGGCGGTGCGCGCCGCCGATCGCCTCCGTCGGGGCGGGGGCGGTGCCGCGGGAGCTGCAGCCTCCTCTCGGCCCGCGGCGGCCCCGGTCTGTGCGTCGGTTCCGCTGTTGCTCCCGCTCCGCTTATCCCGGGGCGGGTTTCAGGCTAAGCCTCCCGCTCCCCTGCGCTCGCTTGTGAGTGCGGTAAACTCGGTGTCTGGTGTTTCCGCCGCCGTTGCGTTTCAGGTGAGGGAGGGAGGGAAGCAGAAAGAGCTCGTAGGCACTCACTCCCCACCTCCTCCCTTCAGCGCCTCTCCGGCGGTTCCGCGCGCGAAGCCCCACCGCTTCGTCGTTTCTCTTTTCCCAGCTAAATAAAGCCAGCCCTCTCGCCAGCATGGGCTGCACGTTGAGCGCCGAGGACAAGGCGGCGGTGGAGAGGAGCAAGATGATCGACAGGAACCTGCGAGAGGATGGCGAGAAGGCGGCCAGGGAGGTCAAGCTGCTCCTCTTAGGTAAGGGCTGGCGGGAGCCGATGGTCCCATGAAGTAACCCCATAGCCCTGAGGTGAGGTGTTCCCTCCTCCGTGCGCCGCCCTGCCTGAGGTGACGCCGGGCAGGTGCCCGCCGAACTGGGGCGCCGTTGAGGCGGCACAGCGGGGGGCTGCAGGGCGGCTGGGCGGGCGGTGGGATGGTCGCCCCTGGTAACGCCTCAGTGGGCTTTGTGCTCGTGGCCCCTCAGAGGTTCGTTCCCGGGGTAAGGAGGGGGACACAGCGGCCGTAGACGAAGATGGGCGCCTCGGCTTCTTCCCGGGTTAGAGACAGGGCCCGCTGGGGAAACGGGGCGGTGTCGTTTGCCCCGGGGCCCTTGTTGAAAGCGGGCCCTGGCTTCCATCTGAAGGGGATAACATCTGAAACTTGTGACGTGGGTTCTGCGTGCCTCGGCTCAGAGGAAGGAGATAACTAGGAGGATGTTCGCTGTTAATGTTTCTTGTAGACCTGAACGTCTAAACTGTTGCTGCAAGAATAAAGTGCGGAAAGAATCAAAGGAGCACACAGCAAAGCACCGTTTAACTTCTGGTGGTGTTTTATTTTTGTGGAAGTTGTTTGGGGAGTATAACCTAGATGGGGTTCCAGATCTGTGACCCACAAATTACATGACCTACATAATATGCTGTCATGTATTGCCGAGTTTTGCTAACAAGTACTTGAAGCTGACTCTCTTGTATATTTTAAGGGATATGCTTGGTTTTAAAGATAAGTAAAATTAGATGATTTTAAAAATGCCTATACAAGAGAAAAGAGGTTTAATTATAAATACGTTTGTGCAGAACTAAAAATACTGTACAACTTTCAGACAGCTGAATGCTGAAAGATTTGTATTGTATTGATGATGTAGGGAATTTTGCAGTATATCCCATATAGCTAAACCAGACTGGATCCTCTTAATCCTGAGTTAAGGAGCTTTTGAGTTGCAGCTTTCCTCGTGCAGCCCTTCCTCTCCCAGAGCTACAGTTTCAGTCAAACCTCGACGGTAATTATGCTAGATTACTCATCTGGTGTGCTTTGTTCACTGCAGACGTTGTAATAGACCTCTTAAATAACTTCTTTCTGTTGTGAAATTCTAAAATAGCTCCAAAAAGGAACAGGAAAGTGAAGCTTTTTCATGTATAGATGAAGAGATGAAACAAACTACTATGGGAAAAAGGAATGTTTTAAAATGTGTTTATGGATTGTAAAATTTGCTTGTGAGGGGAACGATTAGAGCTTTTTTTAATTGGTTTGTTTTCCAGAAAGTGATAGGCTTCTGGTTGATGCTGTGCCTAGTCCTTTATGCCTCTGGAATCCTCAGATTGCTGGATGGAAAGATTATCCTGTGTGGGTTCAATAATAGTACTGCAGAAGATGTTATTGACTTTTTCAAAGGTGTCAGAGTAATGCTTTATATGTCTTTTGACAAGGCATTTAAAATGATTTTTCAGTCTGTTTTTTGCTGTGGAAGTTCTAGTACATGTAGTTTGGTAGTCATCTTCGTATCTCTTAATCATGTTCTGGGGATATGGATAAAGTTGCCATCTGTAGAAAGATACTTTAAATTTTAGAATTAATTTTGTCACCATTTTCAGCTGTTTAATGCTGTTACATCTAAAGCCCTGTGTTATGAGCTTCTATTTTTAAGTTTTATAAATTGTTTATAATGCAGAACAGCTTTTGAGAAACGTATGTTTTTCTGCTGGAATTTCATAAAATCTTAGTATATGGAACAAATGCTCAGATATATGTGTTTTCTCATAGTGATCTAAGCAGTAGTTCAGTTGGTTTAGTATTTCCCTTTCCCCCAGTAAAAGGAGGTTTGAAAACTAGCAGGCTAACTTCTTTAGGATGAGTGTTTGAATCATCATTTAAACAAAAATTACCTACATGTTTACTGATCTTCGAGGTTTTGTATATACACCTATGGATGTATTTGTGTATTTCGCATGTCTTGGAGTGAAAGTTTTTCAGTTACTTTTCCTTGTAACTGTGTCAGATGTCTTAAATGTTATGTGAATGCCTTATCTTATGGCAAAACTATTTAAAGTTACTTCCACTAGAGTCACTGTCTTCTCACTGTTCACTTTCCCAATTGCTTGTTCAGCCCATATGTCATAGTTTATCATTTACTTGGTTGTACTCTTACATCTATGTATGGGCTTGTTCTGTCAAAAAGATACTGAAATGAAAGGAAAAGTGCAAACTGTGGGCTGCTGCCAGGAAAATACAGTGTGTGAGAGACATCTAAAATACCTTACTATGTAGATAAAGAGCATATCGCTGTGTACCTATTAACCCAATAGGATGGATTTATTCCAGCTTCCATAAAAATTATATCTTTATGTAGTAATTAGAGAATCCTGCTGAAGCTTGAGCTAGAATGCTCAATTAAGGGAATATGTTTTTATAAAATCAGCCTATTTCTAGCCTTAAAATGTAATTTCTTGCATTATATGTTTTCCTGAAGGTTTTTCTAAAACAGGAAATTGCACTGATTTAATTAAGAGATAGATGTGACATTACTGTACCTACACTACGACTTTGTGAGCAATATCACTGATCCATGTTAGATATATATTTTGTTGTTCTCCTCCTAGAAAGAAGCAGACATATTTAAGCTGAGCAAAGTAGTATTGGCCTGGAATATCTAACTTTCAACGTATTTGTGAATTGGTGTATCATTTTGCACAAATTTGCAGGCCATAGAATAAAAATACTGGATTCTGAACGAGATCCATGTACAGCAGTATTTTAAACTTGTAATCCTACGCACTTCAATGTGCTATCCCAGTAGCAGGAGAAACCTTTACTGGAAAATTTCTGAGCACCGTCCTCATTGTTAGAAGTAGACTGAATTTGAGCATGTAGTTTGTAAGGCAAATTCAAAATGTTTGTTTATACATAGAAATTGTTTTTTTAAAATCATTAAATAGATAGGCTTCTGTCATTCAAAATTATATCACTGTGTGACAAAGAAATACTTAAATGTCATGGGAACTCAAAAAACACATACAGCATTAAAAATGTAACATACAAAAGTACTTTTCCTTAGCGCTTTAACGTTTTTGTCAAGTTGACAGTTCTTAAACTTCTGTTTCCTGGTTGAAGTATTATTTTGTTTTATAGTGGTTTTGCCATTGCAGTTTCTTATAGGTATACTCGTATACTTAGTGTGATTTTTAGAAAAGCAGTGTTATTTTGGCTGGCTTCCAAGTAGAGAAAGAGTAGACCTAAGTTGTTTTTCTCTTCCGTGGTTCCTCATCTTAATTTTAGTGTAGAACAAATAAGAATTCCAGTGATGCTTGCAGAAGGAATGTAATTCTATTCATGTTGGGAGATGGTGGTTCTGTGCGACTGATCTGTGTGCTGCATTAATATACATGTGACCCAGATCAGGTGTGGATTTACAAGTACGTTTCTATTAAATTAGCTAAAGCACATAAGATGGAATTTATGCCAATTGCAGGAAAACAGGCAGTACCTCATTTAGTAGAAAGCCCTCTGGTATGAGGTTAGCTCATCAGGCTTTCTGAATACATTCAAACTGGCAGCATGAGTTTATAGGCTTAGCACTTTGTCTTGTGGATTATCACATTCTTCACCTAATACCAAGAACCTGAACACTGAATTTCCTGTATCTTGAATCGAAAAGGCAATAGATGTGTCTTAAATGTTCTAAAGTGGATCCTGGGATCCAGCAGGTCACAGACTGTATATTTGTCAGCCGTTAGTTATCTGTCTTCTTTCTGAATAATCATGTTTGTAGATTGAAGTTCAATGGATACCTTTGTACTTAGGAGCAACAGAGCCATTTTTCACTTCCTGAGTAGATCCTTGTGATTCATACTGAAACGTCTTGTTGATCTTAAAGATACCTGTTTTTTAACTTAAGACATAGTACTGCTCTTTGTCTTTTTCATTGCAGTTCTTTCTATTCCTTAAGTCTGTAACTAAAACAGTTCTATTCCGCTGTTCCTCTAAATCTTCACGTTGCAGGAGTCTTTTTCTGGCTGCTTTTCTTTTGTTACAGACCTGCATCTTTGTCTGCTCAATCAACTGACTCCCACTGGATATTCATCTTTTCAACAGTGTGATCCTTGCAGTCCTTGGCAGTACCCGTCTTGCTCCAGACCTGACCACACATTAGATACGCTGTTTGTACCATTTCTCGTCTTACCTTTCCTCCAGAGTATTCTCTTCATACTTGCAGACAAAAAAAAAAAGACTTTCGAAGTCTAAACTTATCAAAGCTCTCAAAAAAAAGCCTTATTTTCACAAACAAACATTGCACATTTTCAGAGCTGTTGACCTCATCTTTAGACCTGCCTAGTCTAAAACATTTCTGGCAGAATTTCCTCTCACCTTCACAGGCAACTATCTACAGATGTTTACCAAGTTCACCTCTTCTTTAAAAGCTGTTTTGTGGTACCTAAAAGAAGTGTCTAATAGTTTTGTCTGTTGGTTTTGTTTTGTTTCAGTTTTTTTTTTTTTCCCTTGTTTGTCTGTTGCTTAGATTTAGCAGGAATTCTGCACTAGGAGCTCTCTTGCATTTTAATATGGTACAATTGGTCTCTGACAATCAGGATGTTATTTATGTGGACTTTTATGTCTGACTTTGTAGTTAAGGCAATGAAATCCTCAAGTCTTTGTACTAAGTATAACAATAATTTCAAAGTCAAAATCGTTAGATTCCCATAGTGTAATAATCCCCCTTGCTTTTGTGAAAGGAAACTTATGGATGTACAGAAAACACAGCGATTCAGCTATGGCTGTTTGTATAATTGCAGTTTAGGTTCTTTATGCTTGTCTTTTTCCATTTCAATGTTGGTATAATTTACAACATCATAATAGTGGTTTGTAATGTGTGCATAGATTTTTTTCACTACAATATAAATTATCTTTAGTGATTTCAGGTCATCTGTTGCATTATTTTAAATCTTAATTTTGGAAGAATTTTTCATAAAAACATCGTTTATGATTGT